TGCTTATTTTCGTATTAAACAACAGCATGTGAGTAATATTTTGTTATCAATGAATTTTAATTACCAATCTATGAATACTCAAATAATTTTATTTCATATCGAATAGAAAGTAAGTAAAAGTTTATTAAATTATATTAAGGCACTTGGTAACATTTTTTAATTTTGTTTTGTGTACTTATGCAGGAAGTAGGTATAGGTCTGTTCAATTCATGCTAAAATTACCAAACTTAATTTGTTTTCTTCGACAGAATGTTAGTATAAAGGGGTTTAATTATTTTGAAAATTTTGCAAATTATTAATCTATTTACATCAAATTAATAGAGCGTAAGCAAAAAACTTTCATATTATATTAAAATTAAATAAACTCACTATATTTTAATGCCGATGTTTCCGTGCTAAATTACCAGAGAGTAAGTATAAAGTTATTTCATTATTAAATTAGGTCATAATGCTAATATTTTTTGTGCCAAATCGATAGTATTATGTATGGTTATTTAATTAGTACTATTTTTTTGGAGAGCAAGCTTTTAATTACTTTCGGTTTAAATCAATAGTCCGTAAGTATAAAGTTTATTATAGTATCTAAATATTTATTAATAATTTACTATAAATCTCCTTATAATATCTCGTTAAATCAACAGAAGGTGAACATATAATGTTATTTATTATACTTTAATTATTGAAAATGATATTCATTATATTCGTGTTAATTATCAGACCGTGAGTATAAAGCTATCATCTCAAATTATTCACGATGATTAATTATTAATTACTTCATGTTAAACTGATAGATGGTAGGCGTAACTTTTATTTCGATAATAAAATTATCTAATTGTTATCTAATTGTTATTTATTTGTGTTAAATCAACAGGAGGTATAATAATTTTTATCGATTGTCGTATTAACTTTAATAATTAATTTCGCTTTATGTTAACAGATAGTAAGTACAAAGTTTATTTTTAAATATTAGAGTTGTCTCGAATATTTATTAATTGTTTTTTATGATAATATAATAGTCTGTGAGTACGAAGTTTGTTTGATTGTTGTATCAAATTATTTAAAAATATTTGTTGATGTTTTTTGTCTTAACAGGCTGTGGGTACAAATTTTGTCAATTATCCTTTTAAAATTATTTAACTATTATTAAATTACAAACATTTTTATGTTGAACCTATAGAATGTAATTAAAAGTTTTTTAATTATGGTTAATTTTTTAAATAATGATAATTTTGCTAATTTTTTCTGTTAAATTAAATAGCGAGTAAGTGCAAATCATTACATACAGCAATCTTATTATTTGGGTATGAAGTTATTCATTCATTTCATTTCATTTTTTACTGTAAAAGGAGGCAAGCATTGAATTTTAGCGAACTAATATATTAAATGAGCAAATATTACTAATTAATAACTTTATGGCGTTAAATCGATAGGAAGTAACTATAATTCCTATTTATATCTCACATTAAAGTTACCTAGAAATACTAATTATTTATTTGTTTTTGTTTGAATATAAGCCTGTAAGTATAATGTTTACAATTATCATCTATTAAAAATCTTGATACATTAACAACTTATTAACAAACAATATTAAAATATTTCTTTATTTTTGTGCTATATCAATAGGATGTAAGTACAAAATTGTTATGAGAATAAAACTCCATTAAAAAATTTAATCATTTTTGCGTAAAAACCCCACAGGAAGTAAGAATGAAATTTAAGTTATTACATAACTATATTAGTAATGTTTAGTTATTAATCTATTGTTCATTTGTGTTTAATTACCAGGGAGTAAGTACAGTATAATGTTTGCCTAATTATAATAGCAATTTTATATGAATAATATTAAACTATTATTTTTTTTGTTAATTTGCAGTTTGTAAGTATAATTATTGCCCAACTGTGGCAATTCTTATGTTAATAATATTAAATCATTAATTATTTTGTGCTAATTAACAGGGAGTAAGTACATTATAGTAAACATTAATATAAATAATATTAAAGTATTAATTGGCTTGTGTTAAATTGTCAGGACGTAAGTATAGAATTTGCTAATTATGATAATTAACGTAAATAGTATTAAACTATTAATTATTTTTTGCGTTAAATTAACAGTCGGCAAGTCTAAAGTTTACCCAATTATAATGGCTATATGAATATTATTTAACTCTTAATTATTGTGTTAAATTATCAGGGCGTAAGTACAATGTTTGCTTACTTTTAATTATTAATATGAATAATATAAATATTAATTATTTTTGTGTTAAATTGATAGTCGGCAAGTATAGCTTACCTAATTATAATAATTAATCCGAACGTTATTAAATTATTGAATTTTTTGTGTTAATTAATAGGCAGTAAGTATAAAGTTTTCCTAATTATAAAATTAATGTAATTATTTTAATATACTAATTATTTTGTGTCAAATTAACAGGGCGTAAGTATAACGCTTGTTTAATTATAGTAATAAATACAATATGCGTAATATCAAAATATTATGTTAAATTAACAGGAAGTAAGGATAAAGCTCGCTTAATTACAATGTAGTAATAAATTTAATAAGAATAATATCAAACTATTATATTAAATTAACAGGGTGTAAGTATAAAGTTTTTTTAATTCTAACAATTACATGAATGATATTAAACTATTGATTATTTGTACGTTAAACTACAGAGCGTAAGTATAAAGTTATTTGGTTATAATAATTTATACGAATATATTAAGCTATTAACTATTTTTGTGTTAAATTAATAGGGCGTAAGTATAAAGTTTGACCAATTATAATAATTAATATGAATAATATTGAATTATTGATTTTTTTTATATTAAATTACCAGGACGTAAATATAAAGTTTTCCTAATCTATAATAATTAACATGAATAATATCGAATTAATAATTATTTTTGTGTTAAATTAACAGGACGTAAGTATGAAGTTTACATAACCGTAGTAATAAATTTTATAGGAACAATAATGATAATAAATTAATTATTTTTTGTGTTAAATTAACAGGGCGTAAGTATAAAACTTGACTATTATAGTAATTAACATGAATAATATTGAAATATTAATTATTTTTGTGTTAAATTAACAGGACGTAAGTATTAAGTTTTCTCAATTATGATAATTAATATGAATAATATATTAAACCACTAGTTATTTTTGTGTTAAATTAACAGGGCGTAAGCACAAAGTTTGCCTAATTAATATAAGTGATATAGACTATTAATTATTTTGTGTTAAATTAACAGTTTGTTAATTATGTAAGTATATGTTTTTTTTTTTATTATAGAATATAGACTTTATATAATAATACGTACTAAACTATAAATTATTTTGCGTTAATTAACAGATTGTAAGTATAACGTTTGCTATAATGAAAATGATTTCTATGTACATGTAACTTATTTAAAATGGTTATTTATTTTTGTATTAAATTAATAGGTGGTAAATATTAAGTATACCTAATTTAATTTTAATAATTGATTTATATAAATTCTATTAAATATTAATTTATTTTCATGTTAATTAACAGGAAGTAAGTACTTTATAAGGTTTTCTTGATTATTAAATATAAAATTCTATGCAATAACTGTTATTGTTTATTAAATTATTTTTATATCAACAGAGCGTATGTATAAAGTTATAATAGAATTTATTTTTTAACCTATTAATTTATTTTTATATCAACAGGAAGTGAGTACTAAGTTAATTTAACCATATGTAATTTTTATAGTATTAATTTGTTTTTTTTTATTTAACAGTCGGTATGACGTTTGTTAAATATAATTATTTTTGCGCATATGTTATTAAACATTCTATTTTTGCAATTGAATAAAGAATGTAAGCATATTATAATTATTCGTTAAATTTATTAATGCTATCAAACATTAATTATTTGAAATTTAAATTAACAGCGAGTAAGAATTAAGCTTATTTGATAGGATCTAATTATTTACAAATATTAAATCAATAATTGTTTATCTAAAATTAACAGGGTGTAAGTATAAAGGTCTTACAAATATTGCTAAAATCATACTGTATATACAGTAGATACTAATCGTAATTTTTTACATTCAATTAATAGGCCGTAAGTATAATTATAATTATACCTACAAATTATTGATCATATATTTATTTTTGGCACATTTTTAGCTTGTAAGTATAAATATATACAGTATATTGTATGCGTACATAATATCTTCAAATTGTCATGCTATTGATTATGTTCCAATAATTATTAGATCGTAAGTACATGACTTAAATAAAAATTCTATTTGTGTTAGCAAATAATGTTAAAGTATTTATCGTATTAAATCAATAGAGAGTAAGATTAAAGCCTATTTAACTATTGCGATCGAGTTTACATATTATTAATTTATTTATATTCAAAAGAATGTGAGTATAAAGTTTATTTAACATTGATATAATAATATGTTAAATTTAAATTAACTTTTGTGTGAAATTATTAGGCTGTAAGTACATACAGTAGATACATGTTATATTTTAAATATCATGTTTGTTTAACCAATAATTTGTTTTTATCCAACAGAGCGTGAGTATAAATTAATATTATATCGTTGGTTTTTAAGTTACTATCAAATACTTATTTTCGCATTAATAGAATGTAAGTATGACCTTATTTGTTATTTTACGAATTCGTAAAAATTTTGTTAAAGTATTGAGCATTTATGTTAAACTATTAGAATGTAAGTATAAATAAATTCATTGTTAATTATATATATATTATTGAATTATTTTTGCATCAATTTAGTGTGCCGTAAGTATTAAATTTCTAAAATTATATACTGTAATTGCGGATATTATTTAATTGTCTTATCAATTCACAGGAAGTAAGCAAAAATCTTATTTCAATTAATATATTAAGAATATTGGCGAATGTTATTATTGATATATTTTAACCATCAGAGAGTGAGTATAAACTTAGTAAAGTATATGATTATTTATAAATATGGATTGCTTTTATGATGATCATAAAATGGTCAATATAAATTCATATTACCATTTTCCGAATTTATATTATTGCTAAATATCGATTTGTTCTTATATTAAAATATAGGGAGTAAGTTAAATTATTATATACTGTATATGATATCTAGAAATATTGCTAAGTCATTTGTTTATCTTTTGATAAAAATAATAGGACGTAAGTAGAAATTGTAAATAATATTTTTTTAAAGTTCTATATATGCTCATTTTATTAATATCATGTTAAAATATTAGAAAGTAAGTAAATTTTTTTGAAAAAAGTCTGTTTACAATATCGGTTTTTTGTTTTTTAAATTATTTCGTATTCAAATTATTAGTAGGTGAGTATAGAATTAGTTAAACGTTATTTATCAAGTGTTTCATAAATTTTAAATTTTAATTGATGATTAATTGTCAGACTGTAAGTATGAAGTATAGATAAACTTGGAAGTATTTGAAATATTAACAAATGCTAATTATCTTTCTTTTAATTAAAAGAAGGTATAAATTTACTTAATAATGCATTATATTATATTTTATTAATTTTAATTAATTTTTTCTTTCTTTGCGTCAAATAATTTAGCTGGCAAGTATAAATTGATGTTTAAAAATTAGAATTTTAACTTATTATTGTGTTTGATTATTAGGATGTAAGTATATAGTTTATTTCTTTAATTACTATTTTAAATTATAATCATTTTAATCGTTAATCTACTTCGTTGAGTTATTAGTCGGCAAGTAGAAAGTTCTTCAAATTAAATAAAGAATGAAATTATAATTTATTTTCCATTCAATTAACAGAAAGTGAGTAGAAAATTTATCAGTCACTATATAGGAATACATGCAAGCACTGTATTAATCAATTCTTTTTTAAATTAACAGGAAGTAAGTTCGAGGCGCATTAAAATATTGTATTAGATATCCATCAATTATGCTTAATTTTATTTGTTTTTATTTTAGATTGTAATTATGAAATTCATTTGACTATCGCTAAGACATTTGCAAATACTAATTGGCAACTGATTTTGTGTTGTATCATAGAGAGTGAGTAAAGGTGTGTTTGCATATTTCATTTAAAGAATATAAACATTATTTATTAATATTTTTATTATATGTTGATTAAAAGGGAGTGAGTATAGGACTTGTTTATTAGAAATTTCTACAAATATCATTAAATATATTTGCGTTAAATAATTAGGAAGTGAGTACAAATTTATTAGTAACATAATGCTTTATTAAATTAATTTATTTTTCATAATAGATTAGCACGTAGATAGAGGCTAAGTTTTTTTAATATATACTAAGGTCATTTGTGCAATATAATTTCTAACATAACAATATAATATATTTAATATATTATCAGGATGTAAGTATAAAGTTTGTCTAAAATTAATGCACCGACTTTAAATACTTTTTTTTTTACCGATTTGTGAGTATTGATTTTAAATTGTTCAATTAAAATTATTCGGCGGCAAGTATCTAATTGATTTACTTATGGAATTTAGATATCGAAATTCAATATGAAATAAATTATCGCATCTTTAATCGCAAGTTTGTAAGTATATTGGTCATTTTATGCTACATATCGTTTCACGCTTTAATATTTACGCAAATAATAATTTTTTTTTTACCTCGAAAATTATTAGGCAGTAAGTACGAATTAATGCATGAGATTGTTGCATATAGCTAAACCTTTGTATTTAACACATTAATAGAAAGTGGGTATAAGAGGCATTTTTCTTCCAATTTACTATTTTAATGGATATTAATTATACATTTGTATATTAATGAAAGACGGTGAATCAAGTTTTTTATTTTATTTTATCGAAATTTATTATTAAAAATTAATGATATGTAACTAATCACCGAACCGTGAGTATAACTTTACTGTACGACCAAATTTATCAGAAATTAGTTGAACAAATAACTTACTTAATTATTTATACGTAAAAGGGAGTAAGTATTAAATCATTGTACTTTTAATATTTGTTTATAACCGTTGTATAACAATAAGTCTATCGTGCTTCAAATTTTCAGATAGTAAGTACAGTATATAATTTAAAACCATGTTAATCACGGAGAATAAAGACTTAATTTAATCCATTCGCTAATTCACAATTTATTAGTTTGTAAGTGGAAAATTATTTTATAGTTATCAAATATTTGTCATTAACACGATATTTGTTATTAATCAGGACGTAAATATATTTTTTATTACTTTCAAAAAATTCCTATCTATAGTATTACATTAACATTTATCGACTAATTTTAGAAGGTAAGCATAATAATTGTTTTTATTTATCTTTAAAATAAATTTAATCTGATTCATATATAACGATTAGGCGGTAATTATACAATACATCTTAAAAAGCCTAAAGAATATATATATATACATTGAACTACATTCCTCTTACAAGGTTATCTATTATAGTGTATACAACAAACCATCTGATTTTGCGATTGAGCGATGGAATGGGCGTGATTTTGATTCATGGATTAATGGAAATCCGACGTATTTTTATGAAATTCCCGAGGTTACGATAAATAATGCAGAATTTTTATCCGAGGAATTATTCGGCAATCTCATGAAGATCGACTTGATGGATAATCTTAAAAAAATTAATGGTTATTCAGCCAAGTTAAGAGAATTTAACAAAGAAGTATTGATTTTTGCGTCCAGCACCCTCTCGTATTTTTCTAAAAATCACAAAGAATTTGTTAAAGAATGGAAGAATGATATTGATCCGAAAAATAATCTAGTTGATCTTCATTTAAGTTTTATCGATAAATCTATCGAAGATTGCAAAAATTTTGATAATAGGTTTAGGGAATTCTATAAATTTCTTGACAGTGGAATTAAGGGACTTGAAGAGTGCCTACAAAAAATTAAAGATAAAGCGGACAAAACAATATATGCCCAAACGTTAGAAAAAAAGAAGAGGGTTGACGAATGGCATCTGAAATCCAGTGAACTCCTTCATCTTACAAATTATAAGAAGGTAAATTAAAAAACTATTTTACATTGTTATTATTTAATTATATTGAAATTTTATTTTATTTTTATCATTTTTAATAAAGAAAGTAAATGATGGAAACAAGGATTTAAAAGAATTAAATGAAAAAGGATATAAAAATTTGATTATAAATCGTCTTATTGTTGAATTGGAATGCATTATAGACATAAGATTGAAATTTTTAAAATCGAAAGAAGTATCAGGTAAATTTTAATTGTTTATATAAAATATTATATAATAATAGCTGATTGTAAACTTATATATTAGACTTTTGGAACCAAATTTTCAACGAATTTCAAATAAACAGAGAATTAACGAAGGAAAATGTAGCTCATGGGGAATTACATGTAAAAGAGTATGCAGTTGAGCACGTAATTGATCACTGGGAAAAAATTGGTTATATTATCGATGCTTTTTGCAAACATATGATTGCATAGTAAAAAAAGTCGGAATTTAATGTTTGGATAGTTGGAATTATAAATATGGAATCAAATTATTATATTCTTTCGTTCCTACTTCATTAGCTATTATTATATTGCAATTATACAGTATTATCGAACATTGAAGTGTTGGTTAAATATTATATTTATATATGGATGATTATTTTTGAAGTGAATTAAAATTTAAGGTATAAATTTATTATTTTAAAATTATAACTTTAACTTTAGATTACATAAATTATATGGTATTGTTTAATAGTGTGATTTATTTTATAACAAATTTATTGATTTGAATTTTTGAAGTTTAAATTTTCGAAAATAGTAAGATAATGATAACTTTATCAACCCATGATATTCTTTAATAAATGAATATTCATTTTAAAGTTTATGCCAAAAACCTTTATATAAATAAATATTAAAATTCAATGGATAGTTATCAAAATAATTACAGTAAACCCTCTCTAAATGCACACCTCTTGGGACTATAGGAAAATTTTTGAAAAATGTGCATTTATGGAGGTAATTTTATTAAGAGTTCTATGTGCTTGGGACCAAGCTTGACCATGCATTTAGAGAGAGAAAATATAGTGAGTGCATTTATAGAGGGTGCATTTAGGGAGGTTTCTCTGTACATAATAATAATATTATTTGATTATTGAAATTTATTTTTGTTATTTTAATTTTTTAATAATAAATTAAAATGATGATATTTCATAAATTATTTGATTAACTCTATTAAATTGTACCAACAGGTAAGTGAATTTTTTCTTGGTATACTAACAGGTACGTGAATTTTGACTTGATATATTTTCTAGATAAAATTTCTTTATAAGTGTGAGACAGATTTGTCTCATATAATTAGATTTATTCTAGCCATGAAATAGCACTTTATCTATATACAAACTCAAATGAATATATGTTATAAGTAATAATAACAATGCAAAAATAAAGTAATTACAATTGCAGTAACTATTTCCTAACAATATAACTATAATAATAATAATAGTATAATAATTGATATTATTATAATTGCTCTGTTATTATTCTTTGATTATTAAGTAACAATTAAGTGATAGTTAAGTAATAATGTTTATAAAAAATATGTAATTTTAGCAATTTTGATGTGAGCCAGCCTTTGGTTGAGTATACTATCAATAATGTAAAGTCTACTCAAGTCAACATTGAACCTACAGTTAAATCTATCATTAAATCTGGTAAGAACAAATTAAAAATTTATTAAAAATCATATTTACTATGCTCCTCTATTTTTTCTATCTGAATAGTCTCTTCCACAAGTTCTCGAATTTAAAATATATACTTCCATCTCGAATCCAGTTCTTCATTGTTTCACTACCTAATACTGCAGATTTGCGAGATATGGCATTACTAATTTCTAGCATTTTTTGCTTTGAGGCTTTAACAAATCTCTCATGCAATGCACCAGTTTTTTCTTTTAAACGAGCATGCTTTTCTATAATTGGATCTGGTGAAGTTTAAACAATTGTTTATATGCTCATTCTATTATGCTAGGTAATAGCTCGTCTGTAATCGTTTTATAGTCAATATGAAACATGTTTGATAAAATTTGTACAAAATATTGGACAAAATATTTAAATAGTCGAATTCATAAAAAAGGTATTATTTTAAGTTAAAATGTTTGTAAAATAGATGGTTATGTAAAAACATATTAATATTAATGGTATTCCCCCAACAATCCGTCCGTATATTAGTTCCGAGAGCCTACATTTCTGTCTCAAAAATAAACCACAGTAATGGATAAACCATAATGATCGGGTTGATAATTTATAATGAGTAACTTCCAAAGACTGAACGTAAAGTATTCAAAAATACAGGTCATGTTAATTCTAGACGAATCGTGCAGAAAACATTAGACGGGAAAGCTGTCCAGATTTGGAATTCTATTTGCCTCGCAGGCAATTCTCATGAAATTACAAGAACAATTTTCGGAATGTTGTAACAGAAAACGAAGTGCCACTGGGGGTTAGTATTGGATGTATTGTGAATATTACATAGAACCAGATCTCGATGAAGAATGGAAAGAAATAGAGATTGGTTCACGAAAATTTGGAGTTTCATCTCTAGGCAGAGTTCAGTTACCGAATGGTTTACAGGCTATTACTGTACCAAATTGACTCGGTTCACAAATATCTGGTTCACCGTTTAATAACTTTGGCATTTTGCTCCAAAATAGAAGACAAAGAATATGTCAATAATATTGACGTGGATTCCATCAATAACAACGCATCTAATCTCAAATGGTGTACACAGAAAGAAAATTGTAAACATGCCGTACGCCTCAGGCTTTAGGACAATCAACATGCAGTCAAACAGATTTTCGCTGATGGTACTTTCCAAGAATTTCCATCCTTGCAAAACTCAACGTACAACTCAGATTGATAGTCGAAATATTAGGGCAGTATGTCAAGGACTTCGAGTTTACGCTAGAAGGTATCGTTGGCAATATGTGGATGTATTATCGTTGGCCAAAACAATGTGATATGTGGCACAGTAACCATAATTCTAGAAAAATCAGATGACGACATTATCATTTTTCCCATAATCAATTTTTTTTTTTTTTCGTTTGTTTCTGTTCATTTCCTAAACATGAGTGTCAAACTTGAAGGGTCAGAAATATCAGATGTCGTCACTCTCGAAAATAAACAAGCCTCCAAAGTCAATATGGTACTTACTGTAAATAGTGTTTAAGACTGTTTATGGATGATTGGTTAACGGTCATATTAGATCCTCACGAAGATTGAGGAAGTATTGAAGCAAAAGAAAAAGAAAGATGTCATCACGATCAATCTTCCTGGACTGGATGAAGCTGGTGTAAGTGTATATGAAGCAATACACGAGAAATATAACGCAGAAATAATTGGGAACAGGCTTTTTATCAAAGTAAGCTTCACTCTAGTTTACGCATCTACATACTGTAATACCATTTATTGATCTTACCAAATTATTATTAGTTTGACGGGGCTGGGAAAGAAGAAATTCATTTCGAACTAGGTGTTTCAGCCAGAACATATAATCCGAATTGGTTTATGGTATCTAATGCAATATGTGTTGTTCAAGACGCCCAACTTCGTCCTGACCTTGGCGTGTGGTTTCGGAGGCCGACGTACCCACAAAGGATGCAACCCATCGCCAATAGATGCCCATCGCCAAATGTGTGGATAGAAGTAGTTATATTTAAGTTTCTGCAGAAAAACGTAGACGGTATGGTGTGACTTATCATATCTGAATTCTTGTAGGTGTTTTTTAATAACGAAGACCGTGACAATGCCTTATATAAAATTGGCGTTGTTCAACAAAACTGGAGTGGCATTGAATTTGTCGGAATTGATCTTCCTGTTTCAAATACTCCTTACCTTCCGAATCCAAATCCTGGGGCACTTTCGGTTCCTGCAATCCCTCAAAACAGCCAACCCAGGCAAGCTCCATATGTGATATATTGGGATGCCAACAACAATCCTGTTTACTATAAAGTCGACAGCTGGAATGAACATATTGTACTTAGATGTGGATGGACAATCGAGTTTAATATTGTACTCAACGCTTTAACTTGATTGATACTGTAGACACTTTGCTTATAAATAGATGATAAAAATCATACGACCGAACGTTCTACCCACCTGTCTTTCATATAATATTGTTTATGTTAACTCCTTTCAAAAAAGATCTGAAAACAATTTGGGGAATCTCTGAATGCGTCTTGAGCGACGATTTCATAATACCCTTAATATCACGTGTCAAAGTTAAATGTGTTATTGCTTTGTTTTAATGCGAGCTCTCTTACTGGTTGAGAATTATTGACACTAACTCGATTATTTAATAGTCCGACGATAATCCGATTACCCTTTTCACATTACTTCGGAGTACATCGAGATTTTCTTTGATAGCCACTTTTGAAAGATTAATTCGGTATTTGCTATCACAGGTACAATAGATTCTCTCGGAAGTATAGATGATAAAGTACCATTTCATAGCTAAAATATGAAACATATTCCTTTCTTATATGCTGCTAATGAACTGTTTTTCTTTCCTCTTAAAAGTTTTCTTTTTTGATCTCTCTTTCTTTTTCATGTTATTTTATCAATCTCTTGATTTGTTATTATCCTATCTTAGCCAAGCAAATAATTCTATTCAAGTTGAAGATATGCACATTTAAGAAGTATGGATTTCTTTTTAAAAACTTCTTCATTGTTTCAGAAAGCTTAACTCAGAAAAGGTCAAGTTAGCATTATTTTAATTAGAAGATCTAGAGTTTCTTGTAGGCAATAGGTCTCATGAATTTATAATCAATAATTATATATCAAGCTAGTTGAATGTATGAAGGGATTTTTGAAAGTGAAAATTCGATTGATAATACTAATTATATAAGAATTTAAATTGCCAACCAATATGTCAAAAGCATATATTGTAACTATATAAATAATTCTTTCTTGAATATTTAATAACATTATAATTTTATATTTTATTTCAAGAGGAATAATCAAGGAACTGCACTCTTGGTTTATTCAATTCTTAAAATTTCAAAAAAAACTAAATAACTTACATTTCCAAAAAGATTGATATAGAATAATCATGTTATAATGATTTCTGGGTCACTAATATGGATAAAACCATCAGCTCTCATTTATATTTTAAGTTACATAATTATATAAATTCAGGTTACAATTCAAAATCCAAATATAACATTATTTTATTTACTACTATTATATATCAAACACATATATATAGTTAATATTATAATTAAATGTTAACTTTTATTTTTATTTTTATTTTCTTTATATAAATTCTTAAAGTTTCACATATGCTATCTAAGTTTAACAGGTTATTATTAATTTAATGGCAGTAAATATTTAAGTTAATAAATTTCTTGTATTCAATATTTGTCAAAAATAATAAACAAATTATATTAAAATAAGATGATTAATATAAACATCATGTTATGTTTCAATCTAATAATAAGTCAAAATAATAATATTTTATTTTGAAAATATTTATATTGTGACTGTTTATTAATTAAATAAAGTGATAATTTTTAGATAAATATAATTTAAAAAGAATTAATAATAATAAATCGATTTTTTTTTTATTTGAAATATTTGAATTTTAAATTTTAAAAATACTCTTTAAAAATATTCTTAAATATTTATAAATATTTTTTACTTAATAGAAATTAAAAATAACTTAATTGATTACAAGTTATCAAAAATAAACTTATTAATAATTATAAGAAATATTGAATTATGTTCAAATTAAATAACTTTTTTAATGATAAATAAAATAAAAAATAACTTTTTTATTTTCTTTTTTTATATATTGTATATAGATCTTTATTTTTTTTTCTTTATTTTTTTTCTTTTCTTTTTATGATTTCTAAATAAAAAATAAAAAAATTTAAATTAATGACATATAATTGTAAGATAATTTATAAGTTTTAACTTTATTAAAAGACTTATAATTTTAATTATACCCAAAAAGTAATATATTATTCTTATAAATAATACTTAAAGATCTTGTACTTTATGAATAAATTATATTGAAAAGTTATATAACATATTTATCTCTTATATTTGTAATAGTTCAATAATATTTAATAAATATATAATCCTAGCCTAACTAAGAAAAATTACAATTTGAAGATATCACAAATAATAAAAATAAAAATATTTTATATTATTTATAAATTTATGCTATTGTATTTGTACTTATTTTTTTTTAATACACTGTACTTATACAAGACTTAATAAAATCATTCCACTTTTTCTATTTTTTTTTTCATTTCTATTTATTTACATAATCACTTATATCTTAATATTATATAAATAATATACAGTATATTTTAGTTAAGAAAAAAACATATATACTGTATATAGTATATTACTATATAATATAAAATTCTTAATTGTATATTGTTACAAGCTAACTGGTACACTATTGTCCCAAAGTAATGTTGATAAAAGGTAAGTATTATTCAATTAATTCCTTGAAATATAAATGATTTGACTGGTTGTCTTTTGCTATTAACTTTAATACTTTTGACTTTTAGTTGAACTCTACTAGTCACTAGAGCTTTTCCAAATCTTCTAGTCAAACTTTAGTTTATTTAGTCATGTGAGCAAGTTATTGGAATTTGTATAACAGGTGAAATGAAATATTAGATAAGAGTTTATTTTAACAATAGTTTATTTTTATTAGAAAAAATGACATACAAGACTCTAATTAACCTTTTACACTATTATATTGCATATGAATTTATACATGTGCTTATTATTTATATGTTTTCATTTGTTTGTACTTCTATGCTATTCTAGATTTTTCTCTTTTATACATTTTTCTATACAATTTTCCTATCTTCATTTCTCTACTATTATAACAACAGAATAATATAATATGATTTTGTATTGTATGCCCATACCATTTTTACCTATAACAATATAATAAAATAATCAATATACAAATATTATCATATACTTCTTAATGACTTGTCTAAAAGATCTTTTAGGATACAATATTAAGAAAAAATAATTAGTTATTATTTATTGATTTTTTTTTATATAATATCAGTAATAAATATAATTAATAACTTCTGATGCTCAAAAAAAAAAACTCTTTTTCATATATAACTTTTTTTAAAAAAATTTCTTTTTATAATAATTTTTTTTCAAAATTAAAAAAACAAATATTTTTTTTATCTTTCAATATCCAAAAGTCCTTCACACTTCCTCTTTCTTTACTACAGGAGCCCCAAGAAAATCAAAAAAGTATACTGGTGCATCGGGATAAGACCTTTGGCCAGAGAAAAGCAAGTTTAAAGGCCTTGCTTTTTTTTTGGATTGCATAAGGAAAGACCTGTGACAGTTACTTCTTTATAAATCTTCCTTGGGGTTCTTCTCATTTTCTTTTTTTTTCAATACACAAATCTTTTTAAATAACTATACTTTTTGCTTGGAGAACTTCTTTTTATCTCAAAGAATTAGACTTCACATCAAAATTATCTATATTGTTGACTTGGAACACCAACAATATATTCAATGTTTACTTCCTACTATCACTTAACATATTTTGCTGTATCATAAAAAACCAAAAATCTTATACAAAAAAATTTTTACCAAAAAACCACAATCAGTTTACTCCTGTCAATTGATCAACATTCCAAACTTAACTAGTCAAATACTATTAACTTTTCAAACAAATCCATACAGCCAAAACACTACACTATGATCGACATAAAAAAATCTTTTATGGCAATAGCAATCAAAATGAAATCACACCACCAACAAACAAACCAATCACAAATCATATCACTATAACAACAATACTATCACCATGACCAATCATCTATCAAAAAGATATATCATAAACACTATTGTATACTTTGAACAGTAGCCTGGCCATTTCTGGAAGTGCAATAGTACTTCAGTTAAATAGAACGATCAGTATAGCATGCCTATGGTTCCGAAAATTGGAATCGAATAGAATCGAACAGAATCGCATGAGGTTCGGAACACTATTAAAAATGATGGTGGGGTATACCCCACCTATTAAATTTAATATAAACTTGAGAATCGAATACAGAATCGAATAGAATCGTTAGGATCCTTAAGCATGCCTAATGATTTTATCTGAAACATCCATAGCTTCACAATTAGTGTTGTTATACTTATTAGCTTAGCAAATTATATAAGAGATATTGTTGTTTTCTTCATGTATAAGTTTTAAACAATTTTACAATTAATAAAGTGATGATGTTTACCTACTTTAAAAAAAATAACTTCTGATGCTCAATAGTTAAAAGACATTACTATTAAATTCTATCCAATAAAAAAATTACACTGTACACATGCAACATTCAATCTTGCACTATAGAAAAGAGTATAACAGATATCAAATCAATATAAACAACAATATACAATAATAACCTACTTCTTTTAAACAATGTCAGTGAACTCTGCTTCAATTTTCCTCAGTACCATCTTGCCTACTAGCCATTGTCATAACAAACAACTCTCTTAATCACTCATCACCTTCCATAATAACTATTATTTTCTTTCTCAAAGAAAAAATTATTATTCAAAAATTCAATACAAATATACTTTATAACCTAAATATTAATTCTTGATTATACTTCTGGCCTATTTTATTAAAAAGTATATAGGAAACTCCAACCAATTTTACAATTCAATGTCAACTTCAAATCAAACCAAATCTAAATCTATTTGAATACACTAACCACAGATCAAAATTTCATATAATAGATATATCAGACTTATTAACATTAAAACTAAAAACAAAAACATAACACTGAAATGAATCACCAAAAAAGAACTCAAAAGTCAACCTCCACTCAATATCCAAAGTGGTGTTAACATAATAATTACATGGGTGGGAAAAAGGCATAACAGAATGGAGGATAATGGTATGGGGTTGGGTATCAGGTCTGGCATGGCACAAGGTCAGATGCATCTTATTATGCATCAGTAGAGGGCTAAAAGTATGAGAAAGCTTGTTGTAAAACTTGCAGGATGCGACAATTGATTTGGGGACACGTCGCAAGCAA